AGAGCATAGCTATTTACCAGGATTATCTATGACCATCTCAAAACATAAATGGGATAAAACAGCTGCAGTAATTAATATAAACTATAAAATGATAATTTCCAAATGCATAAAACATGAGTTCAAAATACATCTTCAGAATACACATATTGCGCAGTTCTGGCATAGACTATCTACCAGCTGGCAGGAAGGTGCTGTCAGCCCTGCGATGTTCATGCTCAGCTTTTTCTTGAAAAAATTCAGATTTTGCTTGGTCATTTATGCAGTCTGCTTTCCTTATTGGAAGCTCGTATGTCAATAAGGCAAGAAGCTTGTAGCCCCCTAGGTCTGTGCTGCTGCTCGCTGGTGGTAGGGCTCTGGAAGAGATGGATGTTCTTATGCAGCAAAGACAGCATTAGATGATCTGGTATGCATTTTTCTTCCCTGCAGAAACTGGAAATTGTTGCAATAAGCGTCAGAGCATAATTCAAAGCATAGTTTCTCTAGTGACTTTAATATTAGGTAACTGTTGGAGGACAAATATGTGACAGAGGATTGAGGGTTTGAAAGAAGTGTATTTAGAAACAGTCAATATTTTTCATTAAACACAAAAACATCTAGGTTACATATTTACCTCCACAAAATGGACAAGTACATTTTGTTTCTCAGAAACCTGTATGTCAGTAATATATTTTTTTCTATGGAGAGATGTTTTGTTTCCCCCTTGGGGTTTGTTTTTGCTACTAAAATATTGTTGTTATGATGTAATGGTTTGGGAGAACAGTTGACGTACTCTAAAAGGCAGTGTAATAATTAAGAATAATTGAGAAAACCAGCCATTCAGTGAGCTGCCCTTTGTTTCATTCAAAGATAAAGAAAAAATTCAGATAATAAGATGGAAACTTCTCAGATTTGGAGTAGTACAATACAGAGAGAAGCAGTGGAAAGTTGGTTCTCTGACTGTATCTTCACATAAGGAAAGGCATTGGTTTCATTCAGTGGGGGGAAAAAAAAAGGAAGGAAACTTGCAACAACAAAACCCAATCTTTGAACAGGTTTTACTTCTAAAACTTTAAAATATAAATTTTGGTAAGTTTAGTAGGGAAGAATTTCTTTTTGCATTTTTAATGTCTGATTTTCTAAAGCTAGATATATCAGCCTAATTTTGATTACAGAAATAACCAGGTAGTTTTTCTGTGTGCAAATAAATGCATTTGCAACATATCCTGGCCAGCAGGAAGGAGGAGCTGAGCACTGGCTTGTAAGACCTGTATCCTCTGGTTTGGAAACTGCTGTTTCTGGCTTGTATCTTTTGTTCCTCCACTGTTATCACTGTAGGATCTCTTTACATGCTTTTAGCAGAGAAGAAAAGAAAGGATCTCAAAAGAGTAAATGTAAGATCCAATCTCTTTGAGAACAGAGGAGTATTTTGAAGGGTAGTAGTATACTTCTAGTTAACACAGCTCATCTCTAAGGAAACTGGAGCCAGGCATTTTCTTGAGCACAACTTATGCATGGAATTAAGTTTATAAAGGGAGGGCTTTTGCATAAAATCAGGTGGTTCCGGCACCTGCCCTTCAACCCAGCCTGGTGATGGTTGGTGTATGGACAGAAGCCATCAGCAGGTGAGACTCATTTTCAGAGGGAGCGTGCACAAGCAAGGGGTGCCCCTGAGGATCAGAATGAGTTTTACTGCTACAGTTTGCACACAGGAGGTTGGTGAAATGTCCCTGGCATACCTTTCAGATTCTCAGGAATTGCGGGTGCATACATTTCAGACTCAAAAAAAATTTATCAGGATTTATAAACTTGTGTCTAGTACTAGAATCTACTAAATAATGCCCATATCAAGCACATGCCCTCTCAAGCCTGAGGAGATTTTTGGAAAAGATAATCGGAGTGGAATGAATCATTTCAAATGGTAAAGAATCCAGTATGTTCCAGGGTGGATCCTTTTGGCAGCTTTCTACATGGTGTTAGTTTCTGTCTTCGCTCATTTTCTTCTTCCATGCTCTGGAGTGTGTTGCATGGGGTGAGCCTGCTTTTGTCCACAGCTGTGGTCTCAGCGGCTCCTGAGCTATCGTCAGGGCTGCAAGAAGCCTTTATTTCTGTCAAGAATTTTCTGGAATTTAGCAACAAAAATGTGGCTTAGCAAGCGTTTGTGGGGGTTTTTTCCTCCTCTTTTCTTTTTTTCTCCCCATTTAAAATAAATGCAATAGAAATAAGCATCACTGTGAGCTCCCTGAGGGGACAAACATGTGAGTGTAAGTACTGCTATAGCCCCTATTTTTGCAACTGCCATCTTGGCTAGTGCATTAGTGACTCAGCTGGGAAATCCCAGCTACTGCATAAACCAAATAACCAAACTTTCCAGCGGGGGCTGTAATAGACTGAGATGCTAGATGGAATAGGCACAGAGGGAAGCTAAAAGCAGATATCATCAGTAAATTGCATATTTTCTGTGGTCAAACAAGCCCTAGCTCAGCAGAGCTTTTTCACCTCTAGACATTATTGTGACATAAATCATTGAATCATGAATCACACAGTATTTCAGGAGAAAGCCTAAGTTATATGATACATGCAGCTCAGTGCATTAATTTCTTCACTGGAAGAAATGGAATAAGCCATTGTATTATGTCCAAACTGTTTGTCATATTTGTTCTTTTTGCTATGAGAAACCACGTTGTCTTAATATCTCTTGTTCAAAGAAGAATATGGACTGTTTAATTAAAAGATAAAGAAATGCTTTATTATTTCAGGAGATGCTCTTTTTTTTGTGCCCAGTCTCCCTCTGGAGTGAAACAATGTGGTATGAAATCAAAATTCTGGAGTTTGGAAGGTCAGCTCTGAGATTGGAAAACTGTAGTCCACGGAACTACCAAGCCCTCCACGTGCCTCCTATGTGGGAAACCATTTTTATAGTGTAATAACTGTGACCATTTGTTAGAAAATGGGTTGATAATCTGCTCTTGGAGTGAGGGGTGTTGCTGGGTTACCAACTCAGGGAAGTGTGATGAGCCAGTTTTATCTGCCTTAATTTCAGTTTTGTTGTTTGAGCCATTTCTCTAATGAGCATCTTGGTCTTTAAAAACGTTCCTTCTTTTAATAGCTGGGCCTGCTGCCTAAGCCTTCCTTTCTTCAATAAGAAATTTAATTTAAAAAAAAAAAAAAAAAAAAGCTGTCTGGAGAACCTAAATACAAATCACCTATTTATTTTTTAGAATTTGACTTAGTATTTCAGACTATGGTTTTTTTGTGTTTAGTTTTGTTTTTAAACTAGCATTTCTGTTAAAATATTCCAGGACTGCATTAGGCAGATAGGCTGTTCCTGCCCATGGTCACGTAATGGTCTGCACTCTTTTTCTCATTTGTCTGGTAACGCTGCTGCCTCCCAGACCCACTGTCCAACCGCGCTCCATTGCAGTATTATTATTCTTGATTTGTTCTGCAGTGGTTCCTAGAGGCTCCAGCCAGGAATCTGCAACTGTGCTGCTATGTTCAGTGTCAACAAGTATTGAGATGATCTCTGCATTACATATTCACAATCCAAAAAATTGTAATGCAAATTATAAAAGACCATAGAAACAGCTGCAGTGGTTCAGCCCAAGGTCCACGTAGCCCAGCATTCTGGCTCTAGCTGTGGCCATAAATAAGATGCCTAGCAAAGGAAAGGAAAAGAACGAGGTACTTGATATTCCCCCACTTCTTTTGCCAGGTCTCCCAGCCACCAGCAATTAATTTTCAGCTCGAGGGATTTCCTACACCCTCTTTTGCAACCCCCAACGGGTCCATCTTCCAAGTGCTTTTCCAGTTTCTCCTTGAAGCTCCTCAATAAGCTTCTTGCACCGACAGTGCTCTCCACCAAGGAGATCTCCCACAGCCTGTGTGAACTACAGTCACTGTTGCGTGGTTTTGAACCAAGCTCCCATTAACTTTCATTGGTGTCTCCCAGTCCTTGTGTTGGAGCGGCAGGGAGCAGTCAGTCCTCACCCGCGCTCTGGGCATGTTGGAGACCGATGTCCACAAGAGGCTGCAGCATCCCAGCCCACCCTCTTGGTCCTCGTATGGCAACTGCTCCAGGCTTTGATCATCCTAGTTGCGTTTCTCTGAAGCTTTTCCAGTGGTTTTTTTTTCTTTTCTTTTTAGAACAGAAGAGTTTCTATCCCTGTTCTCCGTATGTTCTTGTGGGGTTGTTTTTGCTCTTCAGTCAAATTAATGTCAATGTTATTCCAGACTTGGAAATACTTCATTTCTGGGAAAAGACTTCATTAAGTTGCTCCAGTTCATATGTTCTGCTACAAGAAAGGATTTGGTGTTCAGCAACTAGCAACGTTCACTAACAACTATGTTTCTTTTTCTTTGTTGTTTTTTTTTCTTTTTTTCTTTTTGTTGTTGTTGTTTTGTTTTCAACTCATTTATTTTTATTCTCACACACTTCTGAAAGTGTTCAAAACTGAATGGGGAAATAAATAGATTTAAGTGAAATGTGTTGGATATTGTTCTGTTGTTTTTAAGGACTTTGGGTGCTCTTAACTCCTTCAATCAATTCTTTTCTGACTCCTGCTGTGTGCTGGGGTATATACGAGTGCAAAGTATAGCACTTGTTTGATTTTGTGCCATGTTCAGCTATATTAGTACCTCCAATGGGAGCAGCCTTTGCCTTCTGTCTGTCTGCTCAGCTCACCCTCCAGTGAGTTGCAAAAGCAATACTCTACCTTTATTATTTTTCTTCTTTTTTACATCATCTGTCTTTCTCCATTTGCTCAGACAAATAAGTGATAAAAGGGAATGATGATCTGTTTAACACCACAGGAAGAAAGATGCATTATGAGACAAGAGAGACCTCTTGTTTACAGCAAGTTATTTTTGGTAATTGGCCATTTGTAGAGGAAGATGAGCCTCCGCTCGTAAAGTCAGCATGCCATAATTTAGGGGACTCTGAATGGAAGTCTAACATTCGCCTGAATTGGAAATGTTAATTGTGTGCATTTAGAAATAAATAAATGGCTGTTTTTTCTTTGCAGGAAGCAGACTGAACAAAGACCTGAGACATTATCTCAACCAGAGGTTTCAGAAAGGATCGCCAGATCACGATCTGCAGCAGACTATTAGAGATAACCTTTATCGCCATGCTGTGCCTTGTAAGTAACAAAACATTGACCTGGTGGATTACGTGTAGTAGAATTTTTTTTTTTTTTTGAGGCAGCCTTCACGTGGTGGTGTGCATGGCTTCGGGGGAGACTCAGTTTTCAGCTTGGGCAGATTTCCATGTGTGACAGCAGATAGGGTTCAGGTAGGGTTGAAAAGGAGAACAGTTCATGCCTGAACTCTGCTTTTTTGATGACCTTTTTGGAACAGCTGATGGTTTGATGCAAGCCTGTGATGCTTACTTCGGAGAAAAAACCCTGAAAAACCAGCCATGAAGTGGGTGCTTGCCTTAGAAGAAATCTTCATTAACACCATTATGGTGAATGTTCCTTTATTGGTTTGAAATCTATGACTAAAAAACCTGCTTTTATTTTTATTTCCTTAGCAGAACTTTATTTCTGATGCTTATTTAACTTATGAAATTGAAGAGCATTTTATGGCTGGATGCCATTGTAGCAGGCAACTGCCACTGTTAGAAGGTCATCCTCGATTCAAGTAGGAGATAAGCAGCAAGCGTTAGTGAAGCTGAGAAAGAAATGCTCTTTTTCACTCAAAAAAACAGCCAGGAGGAAAACCGAGAAGTTTGAAGGGTAGTAATCTTTAGAAGTTCAGAATCTTTACCCAAAATGAGACTGTCCTTGGCATTTTGGGAAGATGTACAAAGAGTGGAGAAGGATCCTCCTTCACTGCACCTCTGTTTGGCATTCTCCAGCTGCCAGGAGAGGCTATTCTAAAGAAAAGGTTTTTCTGCTTAACTTTGATGAGCTGCGGGGATAATGGTATGCCTTTCAGATCAGGCTGGGATAAGAATTAGTAAATGTCTTCGTTACAGAATACTGAGATGAGCAGCAAAATATTTTGAAGTTTTCTATCTCAACATGAGTCAGAGGTTGTTTATCCTGGGAGACTTATATAAATATTGAATAATGGTGTTGCCACTTAAAAATGGGTATTTGCCAACAAAGAGCACATAATGGTACGTAGAGTAATAGCCATTTTCAATCTAAGTGTTGCATGCAGGAGAACTGTGTAGGACCGCAGTTAAAATTGTGTGGTAACACTGACAGATGTTGATTCTTCAGATGGCAGATGCTGTATATCACCATTGAGTTTATTCTCATTTTATCAGTAGAAAGCATGGACCAAATTAGGTTTAAAGTGCTGTGCATGGACATAAAGAATAAATATGGATTATTATTTTCTATTGAACACGTCCATTTTCCATTTTGTCAACGTGAAATATGATTAGTTTTCAATCATCTGACTTGCCAGGCTGCAGGTTTTTAAAGCATACTGCAAAAAGCGCCTTCTAGGAGAGCACGTGCAATGTTAGGCTCGGGAAATGCAATGTCGTGATGCTAATGTCCTTCTGCCTATGTGTTATATTCCAATTTCTAAAGCAGTAAATAAAGCAAATGAGCGAAAGTTCTGTGGAAGCATTTTGTGCGTTACCAAGGTTACATTTTGAAATGCTTTCCTTTGATTCTTTTCTCTGATTTATTGAACTTGATGGTGAGCTAAACTGCTTAGACTCGCTAAAGATTTTTGATTTAAAATTAAGAGCAGTGAAAGTGATTCCTGCCTTTTAGAAATAGCTGGGGGGAAATATGGGTTGTCGATGTATTAATTAGAACATCAGTACTTATGTTCCATTTATGAAACAAATGGAAAATCTGAGAAGTGGAGTTAGTTATTGTGTGTATTCATATTTCCTGAGTTGTAAAGCAGGTAGCATTTAATTTTTTTCCTCATGTACTGTGGGGTTGGTATTAGCAGTAGCTTTTAAGAATGATGCTAATATTCATATGTGAATTTGAATGAGACTGATGCATGCACGGTGGGTTGGGATGCTTTATGGGTCCAGAGATTAATCTAGCTGTACACTCATATTTTTATTCGTTGGTACACGTGACCAGTAAATCCAGAGCCCCGGACCAATCTCTAGTGCTAATGGATTATGAAGTCTTGTATTTTGAAAATGGAATTCCCTGCTGATTATGTGGTAAACACGAACAAGAACACAAGGTCACTTGGACTGAGCATGCTTGGCCTGACAGCTGCTTTTTGTTGCACTAATATAAGGGCTAAATGAAGTCATAATTAGTAAATGCAAAATGGAGAAAGGCGATGTTAACCAGTTCTTCCCCATAAATTCTAGTAAGAATCCCATGTGGTTCAGCTCTGACTAGTTTGGTACAGGCGGTGAGAAAACCCAGAGGGCTTCTGTTTCCCACACAGCCGCGTGCCGGTTGCCTGCTTGGCGGACTCAGGAACTGAGTGAAGACACAGCTATAGCTTTTGTGGAAGATAGAGGTCAAGCAGAGGGGAGGAAAGATGCAGAAAGTTTGACTTGACCTCGTTATTTCATATGACGATGACACACTGCTTAAGCATCATTTAGATTTTTACTTTAGAAGTGTTGGTTAAGGGTTTGCTTTATTTTCTGGTGAACAATCGAGCGTAAGAGGGGGGGATGATGTCAGCTCCCAAAGGGGGTATGAGCGTTGCCTAAATGGGTGACACAGGGATGGCTTTCTGAGAGACCAGAGGACTTAATCCCTAAACATGGGAGCTGTCATAAAGAAAATGAGACCTTGAAATGGACCCAAAAGTGAAGTAGTATTGAAAGAAGTAGATGAATCACAGGGTTATTTTTGCAAGCTGAAGTCTTCCCCTACTTCCTCAGTGCCCTCTGCCCCTCCAGCATGCTTCCCCCGAGTCTTTGTACCCTCAACTCCCTGCTCCCCATTGAGCTGATTTTTTTCTGCAAAGATCTGTAGTAAACAACAGCTGTGACAAGCTTCCAGGTGGCCTCCAAGTTTCGTTGTGCTGTCCTGAGTGCTCCGCTGTTAATATCACACCAAACCCATGGGTTTGTTTACAGACCCAAAGCATTCTCCTCTGGAATTTACAACTTCAGCATCCTAATCTAGGACCAAGCCAGAGTAAGGAAGAGAGGCAGGACATGTATTTTATGTGTTTGGATGGTGCATAAGTGCTAATGAAGCCATGCATTTACAATGTACACATCTTTGAAAGAGTTAGTGCAGTTCAGCCACTGAACTAGCTTTTATTGCAGCTGAACCAAGTGTGTGTTATTTCCTTTACTTTCTTCCTGATGCTGATATTTCACTATTAACTTCACATGCTGGGTCAGAGTATTTTTGTTTTCTGCTTAAGAAAAATCAGCACCTTAAACTTGAGCAAAATTATTCTCCTTACATGTTCAGATAAGTAACTATTCTTATTCCTAGCATGTAGGATCCACTGTCGAAACTAGAAAAAACCCTCAAATACATCATCCAGATTAGCAAGATGTTGGTCCAGTCTCAAGCTATCCCCTTTGCCTCGTTTTGTTTTGAAGCACCACATTTTTCCTGTTTTCTGATGTGCCTAATGAAGATCACCAGAAATAATGCTCTATTTGTGGGCTAGTTAATGGCTCCATTGAGCTTGGAGTAGACTGTGAATTGGCAACAATTTCATGATTACTGATTGGCCATGACTGTACCAGAAGTGCTTTGACTGATGCAGAGACTTTGTCCACAGCTTATTTCTAGTGCGGATTTTGCTTATTTCTAGTGCTGATTTCACTTATTCCAGCTCAATTTTGTCAGCCTAAGCTCTTAAGAGCAAAAGGGCAGGTTTACCAACTGTGTGGGGCATCTTGCTGGAGCACTTTGTGGCATGTCTGAGTCCACCTCTGCTAACAGAAGTTGATGTGACTTGCATTACCTCTGATTTGGGGGGAGGCTGAGAGTCCGTGATGTAGTTGACATCCTGGCATTTAGGTTTCAAAGAGTGTTTCTTAGGACCAGAACTCCCCCAAACAGGATTGGTGCATGTGAAGATTTACTTAGTGGAAAATGTGGTTAGTTGGAAGTACATGTAAGAATATATCCATTAAATAGGTGTTTCCAAGTAGCCTTACCTTGGGATACCTGTGCAATAGTGTTAATTGAGAAAGATATGCGATAACAACTTACTTTAATGTTATAGTGCAGCAGCGCGTCTAAACCACTGTTCACAGAAGGCTGAACAGACAGGATTATCTTCCCCATTTTGAAATGATGGTAGAGGGCATCTGTTTAAAATAAACAAGCAGTACTGGCCATTTGTCCTAGTTGCTTACTCTCAACAACCTGACAGCAGTTTTCTTTTCACGGTGTATCAAGAAGAATCAGAGAGATGATAATATTTCCATAAAAGCTTATCTCAGCATGTGTTTTTTTTCCTCTGAGCACATTTACTTGATTCTCTACCTGTTTGAGTCCTGTGTGACATGCAGAGGCAGCTATGGTGGGTCTGGCATCTGCACCTTTACTCGCCAAAACAGTGTACCTGGTGCAGGCCTGGCTGAAATAACAGATCAGTGATCCCTTTCCTGTTCATGTATATTCTGCATTTGTCTTATTTCAGTATTGTGCAATTCCTTTCTTTGCCAGGCTGTAGTCTTACGAAGCAAAACTCCGGAAAATGCAAGGTCTTTTTGATGGTAGATAAAACGGGGACAATGTAATGGCTAGCCTAGAGTTAAGTCTTAGATGTCAGCCTAGACACTCTGTGGCAGGGTTTTTTTTTTTTTTTTTTTTTTTTATTATAATTTTTTTTTGAAAAAAAAAAAAAAAAAAAAAA